CCTCCACCCCAAGGGGATGTCTCAAACAAACAATCTCGCGAAATGGAGGACAGTGAATTTCTCTTTCTGTCGTCTTTTCGGCCAGCTCACCCCTCGCCAGCAGCAGGGCGAGGCGTTCGGTTTTTTGTTGTTGTTTTTTTTTTCCAGGTGGACCTGCAGGCAGGGCGAGTGTCGCGAGGCTCTATTATTATTCCCAACAGACAACTGATTGACAAGAAAGAATGCGGCGGTCGCAAATTTACAACGTATTTTGTAAAGAAAAATCATAACACAGTGCTTTAAATTCACGAGGGTATTTTTCACAGCTAGCAGTGCCCCGGCCCCGCCCCGCCTGTCGGTCCCGCTGCCATCAGCCGCCTCCTTGAGTAATGAAGGGTATTGTGTCAGCCTGAGCCGGACTCACTGCACTGCAAAACGCGCCTGGCCCTGGAGTCTCCAGTCGGCTCTGAGCGGCTCCAGGCGCGGTGCCACCGGTAGTCCATTCGTTATGCGTTTTTCAAGCGGATTTCACTTACTCCTTGAAAAAAAATAAAAAGCTAACTGAAGCTCCCGTTCTGTGCCGTACGCAGATAGCGAGGAATGCGGTGGGGAGTGGAGGTGGGGGGTCTTTTCCTTTAGGTAGAGACAGTCTTTGGGACTAGGGTTGGAAGCCCTGGAAAGTTTCCGGAAAATTGCCGGAAAATTTATTCCAAAAAAGCAGAAAATTTCCGGGCAAAAACAGAAAATTTCCCAGATTTTGGAATTTTTTTTTTTTTTCTCGGAATTTTCGGGAATTTTTCGGAAATTTTCCAGGTATCTTAGGAAATTTACAAACCTATAGGGGACTGTCAAAAAAATTCGTTCATGTTGTTAGGACGAAGCCAGGTACTAATTGCGCTGATTATGTTGTTGACAGTGGCCGTGGTGGTGACCTTCTTCATGTGCTGGGCTCCGTTCCACGCGCAGCGCCTCATCGCCGTGTACGTGGACCCGGGCGACACGCCCGAGGAGGAGGAGCGCTTCGCCACCATGTTCAACATCGTCACCTACATCTCGGGCGTGCTGTACTTCATGTCCACCATGATCAACCCCATCCTGTACCACAGCATGTCCAACAAGTTCAAAGAGGCGTTCTGGGTGAGTCTCGTGTGTCATGAGGGGTGAAATACCATGGGTACTTCACTATAAATTCAAGCGTACACTGATTTTTTTTACTGTTCTCGATTTTTCTTGATTGTTTTATCGGATTTTTAAAATTTGTATCTGTTTTTTTGAATTTTTATCTGATTTCTTGAATTTTTTCTGATTCTTAATTCTGATTCTTAATTCTGATTTTTTTTCTGATAGTTCTTAATTTTCCCATTTTTTTTAGAGGGAGCAAATGGATGTCCTTGTTTTTGAGTGAAGTACCCCTTTGTGTAATGCAAGTTGGTATGTGCTCCGGACCGCGCAGGACACCATCTACCGCGACTTCCACGGCTTCAACTGCATCACCATCCCGGAGCACTGGAAGAAGAAGCAGGAGAGCCGGTACAACACGCGGCGCGGCCAGCAGGACTGGCGCAGCAGGAACGGCGCGTCGGGCGAGCAGCAGGCCAGCGGCCGGAAGCGCCGGCAGAGCAGCAGCATGTTCGAGGTGAGGGAGAGCAAGGAGGACACGGCTAAAAGAAACAAAATACACTGGAAATGCAAGTGTGTGCATGTAGCACACTTGCAAGTGTGTGAATATCTATTCGTACACAGTTTTCTACTAAAAATTCACACCTTTACCCCTCTAAGTAAGTGTACGAATGCATACTCACGGACCTACAAGTGAGCGACATTCACACACGTGCGATTCCAGTGTGATTGAAAAAAAAAGTAAAGAAAGAAAAAATTGTGAAAGCAAAAAAAATAATACTACAGACTAAAAAAAAATAAGAAAAAAATCCTGTTTTTAACAGAGAAGCCGTTTGTATTTGTAGAAAGATAATCTATGACAGTGTTGGGGGCTGGCTGGAGTGAGTCATGACTGATAGGCGGCAATGTTCTTCAGCTCCAGCCCTTGGGTTCGACCGCAGCCAACACCACCACCACTACCAGCGCCATCGTGTCTGCGGACGCCCAGTCGTCGCTCTCCGCCAGGATGGGCAGGCAAGTTGGACGGGGGAGGAGAGGAGAGTTGTGTTGTGTGCTGTGCTGTATACACTGACTTTTTCTGCGCGAAAAAAATTACAGCTGGGAGTTTGAATTGTGCGATGCACAACTGTACAGGGTAGTCCGCAGACCCCTTCCTTTACTTTGCTTATACTGTACCGGATGCGGGCGTGCGGTCGGGTTGCATACTCACATGGGGCCATGAGGCGCAGCGGTGAGCGAGGGTAGGCAAGCCCGCCCGCACACCTGCATGCGGTATACTATAAGCAAAATAACGGAAGGGGTCTTTGGACCACCCTATTTTTTACCACTACCACTACATTTTTTATTTATTTATCTTTGTATCGCATATTATATGGCGTGTTTCATAGTCGTCACACAGATCTGAGCAAAGATTCTTTCACGAAAACGAAATTTTTTTTTAAAAAATGTTGCCAACTTTGTTTTTGAGTTTGAAATTTTGCCGCCCTTTTGTAGAGAATGTGCCACTCGGTCGGTGTGGCCGTCACGCGCTCGCAGCGCGGCGTGCACGGCCGCAAGCCCGCGCCCCGCGCGCGCATGTGTGTGCCGCGTCCCGGCGGAGTGTTACTCGAGCTACATGGGGCGCCTGGTCGCCTGGAAACATCGGATCTCATTCGAACTCGAGCAGCCAGCAGTGAGGGGTGAAGAGGGAAAGCAGAGCGAATCGGGGCGCAGGTCCCTCCCCCCCCCCCCACCCCTGCCTGGCGATTGGGGGACACAAAGGGCGGGGGACTACAAGAGGGGATGCAAAAGGGCGTCGCGCGCGACTACTGAAAGTTTGATCGGCTCCGATCGTGATGCAAATGGTATGGTTTTGGTTTGTTCGCGCAGGAGCGCCGTGGTGGACGTCAACAAGCTGCACACTGAGCTGTACCTCAACGGCGGACGGAGCGCAAGTAAGTAAAATTCCCTCTAAATTTAAAAAAAAAAAACTCGATCAAAACCCGCCCTGTACGCGCCCCCACCGTTTCGATTTGCCAAAATGTTTCGCATTCCCTTTTCGAGTGTCAAACGTCGGCATTCTTTCATAGAGGAGCAGGCCAAAGTTCGGCATTCTCAAGATCAATCTGCTCGTAGGATGGGCAAAAAACAAAAGGCCCCACGTCTTTGGTGGGTGGTGGATTTGCTTTTAATTTATTATCACGGCCAACGACCAAAGTTTTACCCCATTTGAGAAAAAATGTTAGGTACGAGCATATTGCCTTTCCCATGTATGGTCTGCAAGAAAGACTTATATGTTACATGAGCCCCGAATCGTCGAATGGCACTCTCTACGATCGAGGGGGAAACCACTTGTGTACTAACTCGTACACCCAGGCCTGTATTAAAGACGTACTAACTCGTACTAACAGCGTAATAACGCGTACTAATGGCAGAAATCAAGTGTGCCGTAATAACATCTACAATTTCGCATAAATGATGAAAAATTACGCTAAAAATGGGAATGGGGGTGTACTGACGTGTACTAAAACGTACTAACTCGTACACTTTTATCCGCAATGGTTTCTCCCTCGTCTACAACAAGGTAGACGCACGTTAAAACCGTGTGAAGCTGAGCTAAATGTGCGTCTACCTTGGCCTGCGGCGCGCTAAAATTAAAATGTTTTCGCGATTTTGGTAGGCATGCCTATCCACCTCACATCCCACGTCTCACGCCAGGCGCCTCACTTCACGCCGTCTTCCGGGCGGTCTCCCCTTGCGCTTCCCGACAGAGCTGAGCATTTAAAGTTAAAGTTTAATTTCAAGTTCAATTTAAGCTCAGCAATAACCCTCCTCACCCAACCTCGTCGACAGTTTTTGTCTGCCGAAGAGGACCCACACCTTGGGATGTGCGCGTGGCTCAGGTGCGGAGGTGGAGGTGGAGGTGCCGCTGGGCCGAGGCGAAGCGATCGCGACGTGCCGTGTGGTGCGACCTCCCAGGGCGGGCGATAGGGCGGCCGCAGGAGGGCCTGGGGGCTGTTCTTGGAGGAGAGCCAGAATCAATTCGGGCGCCAAGTCGTCTCCACTCCGGGCGGGGCGAGGCGGGGCGAGGCGGGGCGAGGCGGGGCAGGGCCCTCCTGACCTGCGAGTGCCCGCGCGGCCCGCGCATACACCATGCGGGCGCGCTCTCCTCGACGACGCGGTCCTCTCTCGCTCCTCACTCGCCGGCGTGCGGAGCCGCTCCTCCAAGTGGTCGCAATCTAGAGGATATATCTCTCTCTCTCTCTCTCTCTCTCTCTCTCTCTCTCTCTCTCTC